GTCAAGGCCGAGCTGGATGGGAGGGAAGTTCTGGCAGCGAGGGAGAAAGAGGAGTTCTCCGCTGCCTTGGAGGCTGCTTCTTCCACCATGAAGGATGAGCTGCTGAAGGCTCACTCTGAGGTGGAGACTTTGAAGGCCGAGGTGGAGTCTCAGGCCGAGCTGCTGAAGAAGGAAGAGGACAGGCGCAAGGCCCAACTCCGAGCTGCCCACGCTATTACCAGGGGCCTAGAGAGGGAGAAGTTCCAGCTCCTGAAGGAAAAGGACGACATGCTCCAGGCGCTCGAAGCGAAAGATAAGGAGCTGGAGCATGCGACTGCCGAGCTGGAGACGGCGAAGGAGCGCCTCAACAATGGAGTCCTACTGGAGGAAGCGTTTAGGCAACATCCTGACTTCGATGGATTTGCCAAAGACTTTTCCGACGCGGGCTTCAAGTTCCTCATGAAGGACATTGCTTCCGACATGCCCGACCTTCAGATCGATCTCAGCGGTCTGAAAAGGAGGTATGCCGAGAAGTGGGCGTCTGGTCCTGGCGGTACCCCTGGCCCCCAAGCATTGGTGGATCAGTATGTCAGGGATCTGGACTCTGACTACTCCGATCCCGAAGAGGACCAGGTCGGCTCTCCTCAGGAGGGCGCTCCCCCAGCAGGCTCTTAGGCGACCCCCATTTTCTTCTTCCTTTTTTTGTAAGTGTCAGGGCAGAGCTGCAAGGTCTATAAGCCTTGGCTCTGCTCTTCATTCAATAAAGAGACTCCCATTGGCTTCCACTTTGTTGTTGGCAACCGCTTTTCTTTGCTTCTCCTTTGAACAGCAGCTAACGTCACCTCGCACCTCCTACTTTTGAAGTCGCGCCTTTAATTAACATAATTTGAAAGTTTGAGTTTGAATCTCTTAATGTTCAATACATTGCACCAACTCTGGATTTTTAACATTTCACCCTTAATTGAAAAAAGGTAAAAAGGCTAAAATCCTAAGTCCGTAGCTATTCTTCATATTGTTCCTCGTACCCCCAAGTTCGGAGGCTCGATCATTTTGAACTTTCCACATCGCCCCCTTTGCCTTGAAGGTTTGAATTTTAAGTTCGTCAGTGGTTTTGACATCACACCTCATCGCACCTCGTACCCTTAGGCTTCGAAGGATTGAATTTGAACCAACTGCTGGAATGCGATCGCGTGGGAGTCCGTGTCCCCCATTTAATTTCTTGTCSAACTCGGAAGCATGAAATKAAATCATCACRTTTATTCCGATCATAMTTCCTTYGGAACAGYYTTTACAGGTGCATTGARAATCCTTTTGTCATTTCAMGGATAATAACGCTTCAGGTGCTCCGCGTTCCACGGGTGCGCGAGGACGTCTCCTTTCAGATCGGCCAATATRTACGTCCCAGGTCGGACTATGCCYTTGATCTCAAACGRGCCCTCCCAGGYCGRGTCAAGGGCAYCCACATGCGTTTGGACCCTCCTTAAGACCAGATGTCCGACCTGAAAGGCCCGAGGTCGGACGCGGGCATTGTAATGTCTGGCCATTCTGCCCTGATATTCCGCNAGGCGATGTTGAATTGATTAAGACATATATTCTTATTCAAAAGGTCATTCGACGTTTGAGTCTTTAGTAAGAAGGTTACGTTTATTTGTTAGGACATGATATCTCCGTTTAGGTTTCTTGCGAGACCGAGATGAGAAATATTTTGTCTCTGTCACCTAAATGCAACGTGATAAGGGCGGGGAATACGTTGTTCATCCCCGTCTCTACCCCACCTCACGTCGTCTCTTAACGCATGTATATAGTCTTAATGGTAAATTTACCTTTTAAAATTTTGTTGTATTATATATATATATTTGATAATTTGTAATTATGATTCATGAGACGTTTACATCTTCATTTCAAATAGGATCCTTCATGAAAATTAACTATTTTAAATGAAGATTTATCACGAGAAATTAACTTTTAATTTGATTTTTTCTTTAAAATAATAAACTTAGAATAATTCACCGTACTCATTACCTATGAGTTCTTTAAAAATCTCCCCTAACCTCCGTCTCATGGGGTTGAACTAAAAAAACATAATTTACGAATTTCCCCGATTGACCAATTCAAACCCCCAAATTAAACAAATTGGCCCCAAAATTATCACAAAATTACAAATCCCACCACCACATTCCCTCTTCCATCTCTCTGTAATGCCAAAAACGTGCGGTTGTTCATGGCAGTTGAAATTCTCGCGCGGAACCAGCCCCAATTTCGTAATTCTTTCACAGTTCACACACACAGCAAAAGCCATGGAAGCTCGCTTCTTCTCCACCTTCATTCTCGCTTGAGCGCCGGAGACTCGCCTCTATTTTCCACCGATTTTGGATTTTCCCAGGTTTGACTTCCTCGATTCCTCCATTTTCCCTCTGATTCCTGCTCTCCCTACATCCACATTGCGTTCCTTTTCCGTCCTCTTCTTCCTGTCAGCGCTCTGTTGTTTTATTCGCGTTTCTCGACATATTTTATTGATGCAATGTCGTTGTGGAAACGTTCCGTCAATCGCTTTCTTCATTCTTTTATTATTCGATCGTGATGCCTGCCTGCGCTACCAATTTTGATTATACTGCATCTGGATGTTGATAAATGCTGCTGTGATTTTGTTTAGTGCGGACAGCGATGGCTGAGCTTCCCAAATTGCTCTACGTAGTAGTGGTGGATGCGGGAGACAAGCCGGAGAACGGGAAAGGGTCTTTCAGGTATACCCGTCATGGGCTGCAGAGCACTCTGCAGCTCATGGGTTGCAAACCGCGGCACGCTTTCAAGGTAATTCTTGTTTTGTTTTATCGAATTTGTTCAGGTAGATCCATTCTTAGGATGCAGATGCTTCAATTACTCTTTCCAGCTGTGATGATTGGTTGTGTTTCTTTGGATATTTTCATGTGGGAAACAGTTTTTAAATACCCTGGTCTTATTGGTCTGTTGTTATGCTGATTTAACGTTTTTCCTGCTGCTTCCTAGGTTTTGGAGGTGGGTTTGAATTTATATACTTCCAGATTCCATGTGGATTCTTCTGCAAATTTAACAGTTGAATTTTCTAACTAGCAAGTTTGTCTTCAACAGGGTTGTTAAGACGTGTCATTGGAGATTTACCTGTGGAACTTACAAGATTTAAACTAGGATGTAGAATTTCAATTATAATTGGGAAATCCGATTAAAATTAATTGACTAATCTGAGGACTTCATGTTCAACTCGGAGTCTGATTATCAATTATAATCCAAAGAGCTTAACCAGGGATTAAAAACAGAAACAATAAAATAGAACCCCAAGAATAATAAAGTATACAAAGATACAATATATTTATGTATTTTAGTGTTACCTTTAGCCCTGTATTACATTGTTGTGTGCATTAGGTAATGTGATTAATTTATTGCCATGGTACTCAGATCTTCTGGTAGCAAAAATGTTTCTGAGAGTAAAGATTGAAATATCTCAAGTTTGGGTTCCTATCAGTTTCACGGCTGAGAGATATCAGATTGTGAAAACCAATGGTGCTTTTGTCAGTTCTTTTCTTTCAATTTTCTCTACCTTTGATTTAGTCGTTGAGCAAGTCTTTTATCTTTGTGGCTAGGATGTTGGGTAGGTTGTAATTTCCTTAATTGCCTTTTTCGTTTGCTTTTTTATTTCTTAATGGTCAATCTTATTTGGTTTCCATTTGAAAGCCATACATCCCTGACTTGAAATGATTGAAATTTATGCTGAAAGAGTTTTGTTTTTCTAAACGCATTCTTCTGTGGCCAGATAAGCAAATGGGTATTTGAATTAATAAGAAAGGAAGATTCAACTGATGCTTTTCTCCCTGAAGACTTGGACATGTTGGGATCAGTTTCTTTGGTTGGAAAAACTGAAATAGATAGTAATCACTACTATGATTGCTTAGATGAAGAGGAGATTTTCAATAATTTGGGTTCAGGAGAAGGTGATAATTGCAAGAATAATCCATTCGAGTTATATAAAAGAAGCAGGACTGCTGTTGTTAGAAGAGAAACTTTCTTGGATGTTATTTGTGATTCTCTGGCCAAGTACAAGTACGTTGGTCCCAATCAGAGGGCAGACCTGATGTTGGCGTGCAGGTACTTAAAAAGTCTCATTTTTTCATCAAATCATATGATTTAAGAATCAAAATTTTGATGTAAATTTATATTTATATATTGCAGTGAGAATATTAATTTGGTTAGAAATTGGATATTTGTGCATGTTCTGTTGTAAGATGCAGAGAACACTTTTCATACTTATTTCTCATGCATTTGAACATGTTCATCAACAAATTTGTAGCATGTACTGCAGCTTGTTTGATAGTATTGATGTTTATCTCTGACTGAGTTTAAAGGTGGCTTTCTAAGAAGCTAGAYCCAATAAGAAGCCCTTAGATGCAGCCTATCGAGTTGATAGTCTAAGTGTATAATGAGAGGTGCTTAAATTTTCTGGAATGTGTCCTCACAATAAGAAATGTCCAAGCTGCCAACACATATATGGGTCTTTCTTATATTTCCAATTAGATTCTTGTCTGTTTATCGTTTGCTCCACTGCCAGTCATCAAAGCCACATTTGCTTTCTGAAAATAGTAAACGATATTGTTCTTGATACATGCAAAATTATTAAACAGAATCAATGTTGAGAACACTCAGAATTGCAAGACACATTCTACTGTAACTTAACATCATCTGTTGGCCGTGTATATGGAGCGTGACAATATTTAAGCAATAAGCTCCTAATGATGTATCTAGAAAGGGTCATTTATTTCATTCTCTTTCTGTGTGGTGCACATTGCATTACATAATATCCTTTATTTAAAATTTCTCACTGCAGAATCCGAGAAAGGAAGGAGTCTGTAACTGTGCTATTATGTGGTACTAGCGGCTGTGGCAAATCCACTTTGTCAGCGCTGCTGGTAACTTTTTGTTTTCCTGATATCTATCTTTATATCCCAGAATTGTTGAACTTATTAAGTGAGACCCTTGGTTAATGTCACATATCACAACGAAGTAATTTCAATTTGTGACATTTATTTGCATGCTAAAATTTCTGGAATTTGAGCATTCTGCACTTCCCACTATAGGGTAGTAGGTTGGGAATTACAACAGTGGTTTCAACTGACTCTATACGACACATGATGAGGAGCTTTGTGGATGATAAACAAAATCCTTTGCTCTGGGCATCAACCTACCATGCTGGGGAATTTTTGGATCCTGTGGCTGTTGCTGAATCTAAGGCTAGGAAGAAAGCAAAAAAATTGGCTGGAATTTCTCACAAGCACCTGAAAGATGAAAGTGCTGATGGTTTGATGACCAAGAACTCTGACAGCCTATTAATAGGGTCAACGAAAGTTCCGAACAATTTGGAATTAATCAGTCCAAAGCAGATGGCTATTGAAGGATTTAAAGCGCAGAGTGAGATGGTGATAGATAGTCTTGATCGTCTTATTACTGCATGGGAAGAGCGGAAAGAATCTGTAATTGTTGAGGGAGTTCACTTAAGCTTGAGTTTTGTGGTATGGTTTGTATACATGACTTGTGTATCACTTCTTTATTATAGCTAATTTCTTTACATCCACTTTCTTTTCCAAAAAACAATTATAATCCTGATCTGCAGATGGGACTAATGAAGAAACACCCTTCAATTATACCATTCATGATCTATATAATGAATGAGGAAAAACACTTGGAACGATTTGCAGTACGTGCCAAATATATGGCATTGGACCCAGCAAAAAACAAGTATGTGAAGTATATTCGAAATATTAGAACAATTCAGGACTATCTCTGCAAGCGGGCTGACAAGCATCTTGTTCCCAAAATAAACAACACCAATGTTGATAAAAGCGTTGCTGCCATTCAAGCAACATTGTTCAGCTGCCTTCGTAGGCGTGAGGCTGGGGAGCAGCTTTATGATCCCTCCAGAAATACTGTTAGTGTAGTCGATGAGGAGTACAGGAACCAGTGTGTAGCGTATTCATTGAGTTCCAAGGGTATGTTTCAGATGATCCAAAGGAAAGGTTCTAAGCATTTGATGGCTCTTGTTAATACTGATGGATCGGTGGCAAAGGCTTGGCCCGTTGATTCAGTAGATAGCAATGGTAAACCTCTTCTGGGCCTCAAGACAGATGATAATGTAGGGAATTGGATGCGTGGATCACTTAATATAGGTAAGGTTGAACCAGTTAATCTTCAATTTGGTCTTTATGGCATCAGTGCTTGGCCAAGTAGCAGTGGCCCTAGTCATGCTAGTAGTCTTGATGAGTCGAGAGCTGAATGGACTGATACTGGTAGTAGATACTTCTCATCTTGCTGCAGTTCCCCTAGGATATTAGATGGACCTTCGAAGGAGGTAAATTTTCTATGTCAATTTTCCTTGCAACATTCAGTTACTAATTTTCTCTCCTTACTGGGACTTTGATAATATCTTGATGCATAAAATTGATATTTCCCTACAGCTCAAGGAGGATAATTCAGTTCATGGTAGTGATGACGAGGTTGACGATCCACATGAGTCTGGTAGTGATGAAGACATTAGTGATGATGGTGACAAGATGTTCCATGAAGAGGTAATATGATGGTAATATGTATTGCCATATGCCTGGCTTTTTTCATATCAGAATACTAGAATCGGCTTGAGTCCTCTTTTAAGAACCATATGGCAATTGAGTATCTTTTCATTTATTATTCCATACTATTATCATCTGGTGCAAGATTATAAAATATGATTTAGCCTTAAAACAGAAGTAGAATATGATTTAGCCTTTAAATATAAGTACTCCCCAATCCTCTTCTTTTACGTGCACAAAAATTTTTAATACATCTGAGGCAGTACAATAGTTTATTTTTATTTCATTCATTATTATTTTTAATGATGCAGATAGGATCAGTGGATGAGGAATCTACGAAATCAGATGAAGAATATGATGATCTGGAATTGCAGGACATCCTAGAGAGTGGCTATCAATCAGATGAAGATGATGAGGAGGTTAAAGGAAAATTTGAATATGATTTAATGGACCAATTTAGACTCAAAAAAGGATTTAAGCATAGCCAAAACCTGGATCCATTCCCACAGAGTAAGAGAGGGACATTTGATCCCCTCCACTCTTATTCATCTATGCATGCAGAGAAGAATGGAGCAGTTTGCTAACTGATGAAAAATCTCAAACAAAAGGCTCTCAAGCCATATTACAGCTCGTGCAAGAATTGGTTAGCTGCTGGCGATCTCGATTACATTTGGGAACTCCAGGTAGCTACTAGCTTTCTCTCTGTTGTTTTTCTTTTTGTTTTCCCTAACAAGAAACAAAGCCTTTTGTTGAATAATTAATGAAAAGAGACCAATGTTCAAAGGTACAAGCTCCCAAAAAGGAGCGGAAAACAAACATAAAAGATGAAAAACAATCTTTCTTTGTTTTCTTTGGACATTTGTCTCTCTCTGTTTTGATCTCTCTTTCTTTGTTTTCTTTTATTTTATTTATTTTTATTTTTTTAAATAATGTTTTCTTGGATAGTAGCATTAGCATTCCAATATGAAAAATTTTGTTGATAATTTTAATATGTGAATTTCAATGGTTATGCCCCCTAGTTTGTATCGACAGGTTTTTATCTTACCAATTAAGGTCGAACTCTTTTCTAGGAGGCTAAATTAATTGTTGAGATTTCAGTATCAGCCTATCAGGTTTGCTTATGTCGCATTTTTATTTGCACGAACAATATAAAAATGTACAAATTAGCTGCTTTGCTTGTACAAAATTTGAACATAGTGCATGCATGTTATAGTAAAATTTTCTTAGAATTAGTAATATTTTAGAAATTAAATTGAATAGTTTTGAATATCATCTTGCTTATGAAAATATATGTAGATAAAATACATGAATAGTTTAGACGTTATGAAATGGTGGATCTCTTCTTATTTCCTCTCTTGATATCTTTATTATAAAGTTTGAATAAGATAAAAGCATGAAAAAGGGTTAGCATTCCTCAGTCTTAGGGTTAGAAACCATTTTATTTATTTATTTATTTATATTTGGTATGTGGGGTGAGGATTCGAACTCACGACGACCATTTTATTATTTTAAATTTACATAAAATTTCAAAAACCAAAAACAGGAATCAAAATAGTTATCAAACAGACCTTTAATGTTACAAATTATACTTTATAAATTCATTTACAAATTTAGTCTTTTATGATCAGTGTTTATTGAACTCTTAAAGTTTCAATAACATCTTTTGACTGTACATATAGTTTCTATAATTATTAACTAAATGATGATATAGTATGCTTATGTTGATAATTGATTTGAGCATGATGTGACAAACAAACGTGGGAAAAGAGATCGTACAGCCAGAGGAAATTAGAGTCACAATTCATAGAATCGACCCATTTCTTCTAAAAGAAATTACGTTGCATGTACCACTTTTAGGGTAGATGATARGTTTTTAACATTTACAATAGTATTAAGTAAAGCTTTGTTTTTTTAGTCTTATCTTTCCAAGCCCACTGTTGGAATAAAGTTTAGATTGAGTAATGATTTTTGTGAAAGTGGAAGATAAAGATAAACTCAAAAAAAGCAAAATTTGAAAGAATTAAATTCAAAAGCAATCCATTTGGTGAGGAATTTAGTGATGGCAGATAGGACAAAGGTAATTATGAATTAAAAAAGGAAAATGCCCAATTCCAAAGCAAAGTTTTAAGTTCAAGCTTTATTAAACTTTAATTGTGATTTTCTTCTGAAAAAATGTTTCTTGCTGAAATGTAGCAGAACGAATTCCACTCCGACATTTTCACGTGCTCTACCATGTGCAATTTTTTTTTTATTTTAAATATATTCATATTCTATTAATGTGTTTTAATTTTTTTTGTTTACTTATTTTTTCTAGTACAATAAAATATGAGGTATGAGAATCTGAACTTAAACTTCGAGGATAGGAGTAGTCAACATGAGCCTAACCCAATGGTAATTAGTTTGTATTCTTTCTCTCGAGGCTAGAGGTTCGATTCTCCATATCCCCAGATTGTTGAACGCAAAAAAAGAAAAAAAAACATTTTTTTCTTTTTTGAGTACAACATATGGGGTGTGAGAGTGGAGATCAAAACTCAAACTTCTTAATTGGAGATATGTGCCTAAAATGGTTCAGTATACTTAGAGTGGCTAAGGTATTAGGTATTAGTAACACACACAGATACAGATACAACACGTGGGGGTGAGAAATTGAACTCACAACCTCTCGATTGGAGATATTTGTCAATTATACCGCTGAGCTATGTTCGTTTTAACATTAGTAACATATTTTATATAATTAATATTCAAATTTCTTTTGTTGTTGAGTTCAACAATTTGTGGGGTAGGGATTGAGACCTCCCACTTTATATCGAAAATATATACTTTTTTAAATGGTTGAATTATGTTTGGGTTGAAAAATGTTCGATGTTATTAGTTGCCACATAAAACACCAAAGATTTCACCTTGTTGCACAATAGACATTTAAATTGTGGGGCCAATATTAGCTAAAAACACCAAATTGGCTTCGTACTCAGTGCTGGTCATGGAGGATTGTGTAGATATTCTGGAAAACTTGTAAATAAAGATATAATTCTTTTTGTGTTCTAAAAATATATTATTCAACCCCACTATGGATCCACACAACACGATATTTAATATCTAATATCTTGACGAGAGAAAAAAAAAGACAATATCTAATAGTTCATTTTTCTTTTGTCATGGGTTTTAGAAAATCACAACAGTGATATAAAAATGGTCCATTACTATAGTTTAATCATTTTCTTTTTTATTATTAATTCTTAAAAATCATTTTAAACAACAAGGGTTTTAATCAATTATTATAATATCGAAAAAGTTGTGGGTATCACGTGCCATGCAACCTCTTTTGATATAAAATATTTAATAGTCGTTCGAAACGATTTTAGAATGA